AAGACCCTTTGTCTTTTCATGTACCTCCAAAGCAAAGTGACAACAGAATACTCAAATATTTTATATTCTTATTCTTGGAATAACACCAACGAGTTTCTCTCCCCCTCTCTGTGAAATTTCAATCTGAATCAAAGAAAGGCAAGAAACTTTGATTAATATGAAATTTTTTTTTTCTACCCACAGGCATAATTGTCAGCACAATACTGGCAAGGTGAAAAATAATGAACAGACAATTACAAAAAGATTTGCTTCTCCTCCTCCTTGGATGGCTGACGTACAGCCAAAAGCACCACCATGTGTGTTGGTTTTGGCTGGGGAAGAGTTAATTTTCTTTATAGTAGCTAGTATGGGGCTATGTTTTAGATTTGTGCTGAAAACAGTGTTGATAACACAGGGATGTTTTTGTTACTGCTGAGCAGTGCTTACACAGAGTCAAGGTCTTTTCTGCCTTTCACACCACCCCACCAGCGAGTAGGCTGGGGGTGCACAAGAAGTTGGGAGGGGACACAGCTGGGACAGCTGATCCCAACTGACCAAAGGGATATTGCATACCATGTGACATCATGCTCAGCATATAAAGCTGGGGGAAGAAGAAGGAAGGGGGGGGACGCTGGGAGTGATGGTGTTTGTCTCCCCATGTAACAGTTACGTGTGATGGAGCCCTGTTTTCCTGGAAATGGCTGAACACCTGCCTGCTGCTGAGAAGTGGTGAATGAATTTCTTGTTTTGTGCTTGCATGCTTTGCTTGCATGCACAGCTTTTGCTTTACCTATTAAACTGTCTTTATCTGAACCCATAGGTTTTCCCACTTTTACCCTTCTGATTCTCTCCCCCTTCCCACCGGGGCGGAGTGAGTGACTGTTTGTGTGGTGCTTAGCTGCTGGCTGGGGTTAAACCATGACACCATGTAAAAGGAATACCAGTATCCTTGTATTCAGAAAGACAGCTGCACACTAAGTCAAGTTAGGAACTTCCAGACACAGCACAGTCAGTGAATATATACCACAGCAATTTCATAACGAACACATAAACTGTAACAACCCATACTACCAGTTTACCTGTAGCAAAGCATGCTCCTCCCACTTAGCGAGGAAACCCAAACTTTTTAGGGTCTCTGAGGTCAAAGAACTAGTCAGGTGGGACAAAAATAATTTAGACAACATACCTTTAAAAATGGATACTTTGTTCTTTCTCCTTCATGTGCTTGTGCATCCATATTGTGTGCAACTTGATGTGGAGAAGGAAAACAGGCATCACAGCTTCAAAGAGCTCACAAATTTCTCACGTCAGGGAAATAAAACTCTATGGGCAGTCTCTAATCATTCCTGAAGCCTCTGAAAGACCTACTATTACTATTACAAACAGCAGGTGGGAGAGGAAAGCTCTCACACTCAGAATGCAAAGCAGGGAAGATACAGCTGCAAAGTGAACCTTGGCTGAAGGACTCGAACTCTTCAGTAGCAGCAGATACAAATGCAGTATCTGATCCTTACTGCATGAGATTTTCTGGTGGCAGATTTTGTGAAACCCTTTTGCATCTTGAATCTATAGAGTTGTTAAGCAGAACACAAGAAAGCCAAAGAAAAGCTGAGGGTTTGAATTCTTTTAAGAGGTTGCATTGTTTTAAGCAGAACACCAACTCCAAAAATAAGGCTGGAGAAAACGAGTGGAGGAGGAAAAGGATCCATGGTATCTTGTAGATTACCTGGCCCTAAGAACAAGCCCAGTTCTCCTCGGCCCTAAAGAGAACTTCTTTGGTGGGATATTAGGTAGTAAACTTGGGCAATATACCATCAACAATAAACCATAACAATGGCTTGATGGATCTATAGTAGCCTTTAGGTGAACAGGATGGAACACCACTTATACAACTTTTCCTCTCAACTTAGATTCAAGCTCCTTGAACCTTCCTATCTCAGCAGTAGCCAACCTTTAGCTTCTAATCTCCATGGGCTTGAAAAATCTCAAAACTGGCACAACACACAAGAAAGGAAATTTTTTCTCCCAGAGCAGATGTCGTCAGTGGTAGAGTGGACCCTATTTCAGGCAGGCTTTGCTTCTATGACCATCTTCCTTTAAATGTCAACCACAGGTGTTCTGCTCTTAATATACATAGTGAACTGCATCACCAGAAGAGTGCACAGATATCACCAACAGATATCCCATCAGGTTTCAGCAATGATTTTTCTTTACTCAAAAGCAAGAGACTGAGCATTTGTCTCCAGTGTAACTGTAACCATGAATGCTCACTCAGCAGTTACATCTGTCTGATGAAGAACACCATCTTTCCAAAATAACATATGGCTCAAATCCATTATCAGAAGAGTTCACATGTCGTACCATGGTTTAAGAAGGCGGGGGTGGGGAAGAAACAGTCAAAAGAAAGGAATACCACACAAAATGGCCATCTCAAAGTTAGACTCCAAGAGCTTGAAAGTGTCCTTTCAATGTTAAGGAAAACCTGTATGAAGAAATAGAAATTATGATACAGTTCAGATTTTCCACACATTGTTGCTCTCTTACACCCAAGTGGTTAAGAGAAACAGAAGGGGAAGACTATGCCGTACTCCTCTTGGACAGCATCTGATGCAGGTGGGGCTGATGTGAACTCCCATAGATATTTCAAATGTCAAAAGGTTTTCTGTCTAACAGGTTTATCAACAGTGAAATCATAAATGTAAACAAACATTTGAAGGGAAAAGCAGCTACACACTAATCCTTCAAATTAGTAGGGTGTTGGTTTTGTACCCTGGAGGAACCGAAGGAATATAGAAGGATTATAGATACCACATACTCATCTCCACTATTTATGATTCCATTAGCTAAACATAGACTGAAATTAAAGTTTGGCTTCACTGAAAAATGAGACTTGGTCAGCTACCCAAGGTATGTTTGAACAGGCTGCTGAGACCATGAAAAATAAAAAGCGCCATCTATGAAAAGCAGCTTACTTAAGTGATTTAGGAATCATAGGACTTTTTCTAAGCCAGTCAGCCCATTGCTAGCAGAATGGAGAGGGAGGTCTTTTGTGGACAATTCACTATATCAATATTAGCGAATATCGCAATGGGTCAAGTGAACCATAAACTGTAGAGTAAGTGTGCTATTTCCCTGTACAGATAATGAAGAAAGCACAGAAAATTCAGTGCAGCTGTAGACATCTAAAATTGTACAAGGTTTATGACATTTTATGTCTGTGAACAAGCTTCACTGTGACTAGGGCAATGAGAATTAACATCCTTTGGAAGAGGTGCTATTCATCAGGGACAGTTGCTTTTCTCTGCCTATCTCGCAACTAGAAGAGCTTACTCTGGCAAGTGAGATACCAGTATTGCTCAGTTCAACAGCTTGGGGTAAAGAATCTTTAAAAAGTTAGACTTGGAACACAGAAGTTGCAGATTAATTGATTTCATTTCTAGTGTTTGATATGTTCTGCTTAATCCACAATTAGAATATCCTCTCCAGACATTAGATGTTAATGAATCTCTCCTGATCATACACATCATATGCAATCAGTTCTTCATTAAGTTCAACATTATCAGTTCAACATTAAGACACCTGTTGCAAACAGCAGCTTGAAAGTTACTTTTAAGTAAAGTTCATGTTTAGAATAGGTTGCAGAGAACAGACACACAAACAGTAACTAAGTATGAATAGTCATTAAATCACTTCTCTAGAGAGAAAGGTCTATTATTAAAAAAAAAGTCATTAGAGCTTCTAGCTAAAGCCTAATACATCCCCCCTCTCAAAGTTAGAATCCAGAAATCTTTTCACAAGGCAATAAAGAAGCTAGTGTTTCAGTACAAAAGCATTCCAGTAAAGCCTCATCAAGTTTTCTATCAGGGAACCTTCTAAAAATCTCAAGTCATAAAGCAACTAGCTAGACATTTTGATTTGAGAGATCCCCTCAACAGTGAACTGTCTCTCTCCTTCAGCCCAGAGTGTTTTGACCTTCATCTCTTGGGGAGAATATTTCCCCAGAGCCTGGACACATCCCCCACTGCCTGATTTCCAAGCTCATCCTGTGCCATTGATCTCTCAGGGTGAGAATGACTCACTCCACATGCACAAGTCAGAGAAACAGAGCTGTTTGAGCTCATCTCTTTTTTTTTTTTTTACCATATTCTTTAACTAACAGCTTTCCTAAATCCTACAATATCAGACTCACAATATTTTATCATATGTCGTAATAAACATTCACAGTATCCACAGTCTAATACATTAACAGAGATATCAGCCATACAGTCCTTTGCCTGCCCAACCTTCCATTACATTAGGGATTCATGCTTTCAACACATTAGGCTTAAATTCTGATTTTAAGCATCTTTAACGTGGTAAAAAAATATGCAATATGTCTTTAAGACATGTTCCAAATGTAAATAGGGTACATCAATATTCTTACAAACTAGTATCTCCAAGGTTATAGAGTAACACTTTGTATTGACAATTTTGTCTGGAATTATTCCATATGATACATATTGGTTCTGAAGGTTAAAAATGTAAGTTCTGAGTATGCATCAAATTCTCAAGCTCAATCCCATCACAAATGAATTGTGTTCTACCACTTCAGGGCTTTGGGAAAAACAGAAAGCTGTACACTGAAGACTCTCCTATCTAGGTACAAGAAATGGTGCAGGCAACATGGTGGCAAACGTCTTAGCAGGGCCTGTTGCGACAGGACAAGGCGGGGTAGCTTTAAACTAAAGGGAGGTAGATTTAGACTAGATATAAGGAAGAGATTTTTTACGCTGAGGGTGGTGAAACACTGGAACAGTTTGCCCAGAGAGGTGGTGGATGCTCCATCCCTGGAAACATTCAAGGTCGGGTTGGACGGGGCTCTGAGCAACCTGATCTAGTTGAAGATGTCCCTGCCCACAGCAGGGGGTTTGGACTAGATGACCTTTAGAAGTCCCTTCCAACCCAAACTATTCTATGATTCTATGAAAGCTGTTTGTTTCCTTGCTACTGCAACATAGTCAGAAATTATTTCAGAAACTTACCATTTTCCAAGCAGAATCTCGGACAGATCTTGTTCAAAAGAAGTTCCTGACGTAATCGAAGAACTTCAGCTTCCAGCGCTTCAACTTTCGATTTCCATCCAAAATCTTGTTCAGATACAGTTTTGGCAAGGTGCTCAGTGTATTCTTTGCAACTCTTCCCTGGTGGTTTTGAATGGATAATTGCAAAAGCCAATGCTAGTTTTGATATTTTCAAATACCAAACTTGATTTTCTCTTCTGCCTTTGATTTCTATTACATTAGAAAAACAGAAAACAAAAAAGTAACTTCACTATGACTCTATTAAGCAAATTATGCACAGTATTTTCCTGGCTTTGAAAACTGTTCAACAGTGAGACCAATTATTTTATTTCTAGTGCATTCCTAAATCATCAAGAAAAAGAGTAGAAATATAAGCATCTGTGCACAATGTGAGAATATGACATACGCGAGCTGCGCTCCAACTATAACAATAAAATTCAGGCAGTGTTTGAGAATAATTGCGGAAATAACAAGCACTTCAAATAGGCTTATCCTAGCAAAATTTTAAATGCAAATGTTATCTCCACTAAAACAAAGATGAAAACACTAAAAATACTAACCTCAAAAAAAAAAATCTTGACCCCCCACCCCCCAAAAAAAAAAAATCCAAAGCCATGACTGAAGAATACATATAGGGTTATTTATACTTAGCTTAAACACAATACATACAGTTTCTTAAAAGGGTACCAAAAAGTCCCGGTGCTCAGAAGATAAAACTTCTGAGGTCGTTGTTAGTGTCTGGTTTTGGACACCTGATACTGCGGCACTTGCAGTTCTAAGTCTACATTAAACATCAAGCCTGCAGAAAAGTCTATGCAGACAGCTTCAAAGTGATGCAAGTGGCTAGTAAGATAAGTGAAGAAGACAGGTTTATCAGCTCTGTTACAAACAGTGAGGACAGGGCAAAAGGCATTATAAGAGTCAGAAAAAGAGAAGATTTATCTAGATGGTTATGTCATGGGCAACAGCACAGGACCTAGGAACAGAAAAGGAAAAATGAAATTAAAAATAACTAATAATATCCAGCCTATCTAATTAGCAAAGTTGTTTTTTTTCTAATTCCACAACATTTTCATTCAGTAGTTCACTATATATTTTTTTTTTTACTTGATAAAATATTACTTCCAGAATAATAAAAAAATCACTTCTTAGGCTTTTGTCCTGGCCTTGACATCTAAAATTGTTCATAATACTATTTTTTCTAGTTACCCAAGAAAACTGCAGGCTAAGCACTATAATAAGTTGTGTTGAGTATCTCTGAAATAGTCACAGCACAGGTTTGAATAAGGTATTTTATGTCATCTTTTCACCAGATCACCTGCTATCACTAAGCTGATTTCTTCCTTTGGTTCTCCTCAACTTTGGACAGTAAGTCATAAATCATCACATATTTATCCATCACAGAATCATAGAATCATTAAGGTTGGAAAAGACCTCTAAGATCATCAAGTCCAACCGTCAACTCAACACCACCATGCCCGCTAAACCATGGCCCTAAGTGCCGCATCTACACGTCTTTTAAATACTTCCAGGGATGGTGACTCAACCACTTCCCTGGG